TATCGTTTCTTTAGAACGACCCTTTAAGAACCGATCCAGCTCTACTGTTTTGACGACAATAGTGTGAATTAGGACCTTCTCAACGTATGACAATGATATAATATTGGACGTCGTAGATTTGTAACGGCGGAGACGCCAGAGAATTGGTGTAGTACTAGTCAGACAGAACAGTTAACATGTCTGCGGCAGAGATCTAATATATCTCGCCACATTGTGTTAGACAATACGGGGAACGGGCTCTCTGAAGCGGCATGGATCAGAGACAATGCTGCCAACCGAAACAAGCCAAGGGTTGCCGTTGCCGTAGCTGATTTACGCGCGATTTATAACATACAAGTATAACGCCCTTGCGTCTCTGTTTCTCACATGATGTACTGTGCATACCGACAAACTTGGAGATATTAGTAAGGTTATGGCCAGCAACTCCTAAGATCTCGAGAAATGGATAACAACGAGAGTTTTGGCCTGATTCGACGATATCAAGACCTTTTTTCACTACCGTAGTTTAAACCCTACTGAGTTTGAATTTACCTATGTTGAGCACAACATGAAGACCATGTGTTAGAATAATAATAATAATAATAATAATAATAATAATAATAATAATAATAATAATAATAATAATAATAGTAACAGTAATTTATACATCGTGTGGATCACAAGGTGATATAGGATAAGTCAATAGAATATTATTGCATACATACATAAATAATATTCAAAATATCAAATAAAAAAGCACTACGTGTATACACATGCAAATGAATTAAAATGACAACTTAACAAATTCAAATTAAGCAATACGATTAAAACAATTAAAAAAGACTGTCACACGTTAAAAACTTTTCTATAGAGTAGAAAGCTTTATCCAGTAAAATTTGCTTGAATCTTTTTTTAAATAATGTTAGCGGTAGTGACTTAAGATTAATGGGTAGTCTGTTGAAGAGTTTTATTGCCATGTATTTGGAACTCTCCTCCGATCTCGATAACCTATGTGACGGCACCTCCAACATTTCTCTGTTTCTGGTACTGTAAATTCTAGAACTGAAAGAACAAAAATTGTCCAGGTTTGTTTTGACGTATATTTAGTATGTAATCTGTATAATTCAGGTATTCTATACAGGGTCTCCGCAAAGTTGGGGTTTTCCTTTTCAGAAACCCTTGAAATAACAAAGGTAATGTGTAGTGAAACGAGGACGACCAAGTAAAAAAAAATAAAGGAAAAAGTACTCACTCTCCAGTTGACGAGAAGGGCTAAGTACGTCTCTGCCCGAAATCATACCGCTCCAACAGAAAATGAAATCAGCGTGCGGATTTTCTACTGACCAAACATGAGTGTTGCGAAAGTTATTCACCCCATTACGCGTGAACATATATTCGTCTGTCACCAATATGCACTTCAAAAAGTCCGGATTATTGTCACGTTGATGCAACAACCACTCACAAAACCGCACTCTTGCTGGAAAATCGTCAGGTTGAAGGGCTTGTACACGTTGGACGTGAAACGGATACAGCCCCTCTTCACGCAGCGTTTGCCACACTTTAGTTTTTGATACTTGCACTTCTCTAGCCACGTCTCTAGTGCTTGTTGTTTTTTGAAACGCAATCGATTATATGTGTTCGTTTACCTCTACACGCGTGACCGTAACCGTCGGTTGAAGGTTGCATACTGACCTGACACACTGACCCCGACCCAGTTCTGCCGCCGGGTTGAGACCTTGTACCAATCGGTGATGTCCCGGGTCGCGGCTACAGGACGGTATTCAGATATTTTTGATGTTGCAGAGCCCTTTATCTCGGTTCCCTTAAGACATTGGTGTATATGGTACACGTCGTGTAAAGGAAAACGCCAACTTTGCGGACACCCTGTATATATATATATATATATATATATATAGAAAAGTCAAGGTCCCAATATGAAACCTTGAGGAACACCAAACTTTATAGCAGTTGACTATGACAATTTCGGAGCTGTTAGGACCTTTTGATTTCTATTTGACAAATAGCAGATTATCAAATTGACTGCAGTGTCAGAAAAACCATAGTAAAGCAGCTTAAATAGCAGAATTTCAGGGTCTATCATAACGAAAGTCTTTGTGTAATCCAGCAGAACTAAACAAGTGATATTTCCTTGATCAAGGCCTCTTATAACATCATCAGTGACATTGGCTAGAGCAGTTGTACTATGGTTTTCCCTGAATCCAGACTGGATTGATGGAACTATTTCATTAGTGAAAATATACTAAGATATTTGTATCTTCATTTTCCGTTCCAAAAGCTTCGAAAATGCGGGAAGTAAGCTGACTGATCTAAGTTGCGTAACAGACGTCTTCGTAAAGTTTATTCAAAAGTTCCTCATATTTATATCCAAAAATAAGCGATTATCCACAGTCAGTGAGCCTACAATTTACCATACTGGAGCTTTTTACTATATTTATCCTAACCATAGATAAGCGTTATTTGAAAAAAGTCCTCTTTACAATTGTCTAAAATCTTTTAACCATTTACCAGCAGTTGTTAAAAATATTATAAAACCAAGTGCATTTAAACAAACATTTTATAAAATATTGCTCAATTGATGACTTTTTCAAGACGGATTTGAGTAATAGGCTATAGAGGAAGATTTTATCGATAGTTTTCTTTGGTTGACGCTATTCGTATCGCAAGTATTTATATTTGCAAATAAAGCTTATCGTTATTGTTACAGTTATCTGCAACAAATCGACAGCGACCATGTGGCAGTTGCGTCAGGTAGTCGGCAGGACTTTGGGTTTGAGACCAAAGGTCTTGTATTAGTTTTACATGACGGTGGTAAGAACTAGGGTACAATAACGATGCAAGGTCTGAAGTATCGAATAGACTTCGGTTGCCGCAGCCACAAGACACATCTATGAGGCATTGTCGGCGTACCTTTGGATGTGCGATGAGGGCACGTGGGTGAAACGGGAAGCGGTGGTTAGACATTCTAGGGTCGGAGATGTGACGGAGAACAAGCTCCCTATATCTTCGGTAAGACTGGAATGGGTCAGAATTCTCAAACTCCTCACGCATCTCCCTTTGAAGGAAGAATGGATGAATGGAGAAATAACATCCTCGCCTCAGTATCTCGTGTGCTTCACTGACATATCCTTTTCCAAGGAAGCAGGTCCGGTGAGGCCGGAAGGCAAAGACGTTCAGGATATCTTTGCGCTTGGAACCTGCACACCGATCTTCCAGGCAGAGTTATTTGCCATCTTAATGGTGGCATACTCAGAAGAGACTCAGCAGTGCACCGAGCGGAGCATGTTCATATGCTACGACAGTAAGTACTGGCATCTCCGAGAACAAGGTTATTATTAGTTCAGGAATGTACTGCTGCTCTTCAGAGTTTGACCCAATCCAAAAAAATGACCTTGCTTTGAGTCCTCTGCCTGGCATTTGCATCGGTCCCGAGTCAGCACTTTGAATGAATAGGTGTAATTCTGTTTTTTTTAATGCAGAATAATAACAATGATTTCCAACAATACCTAGTCATTGCATTGTTTTCTCTTTACTCTCTTTATTTCTTTTTTTCTTCTAGTTGTTTTTTTCAATCTTGTCTAGTTTCCGGATAACCAGGCCGACGAAATAACTGGTACAAAGGAAGGCCGATACAAACTTGTTGAAGGGTTATAGTACATCCCGTTTGAAATACATTAAGCCGAGCACATCTCGGTACAAGCTCCAGCCGTTCTTTGGTTACGCGTAATTTTGGAAAATCCTGGAGAAAGCAAAAATCATGTGAAAAACCAATGATACGTTATAAAAAAGTATTCTAGGCTACTGAGTGGTTTAATTTGCAGTGCATCTTGGTTTTCCCTGCAAGTTTACGAAAAACTTTACATCAAAGTCATAAAAAAACTCCCTTCACTTTATGAACTTCACTGGTAACTCAGTCGGTGTATTGTAAAAACTACATTAATGCAATTGAGGAAACGTAACTGAATACGGAAGTCTTACCAATGTACAGGGGTCTCAGATAAAAATTAATGAAGGTAAGCTTCATTTTTAATTTCTGAAGCTGAACATAGGTTTTCATTAATCGATAAAGTTATTTTTCGGCAAATTTATTGTTTTACCTCTGAAGAAAGTTCCCGCAACCCCGTTTCCTTGAATTATTTCTTAAATAACAGGATTTTAACGTACTGAAAATATGATCAGCAGAACAAAAAAATCTAAATCATAAGCAGTGAGATTAATGAGGTATATTTGTGATACTATGGTGCGGTCAATGCATCTATTTCTAATTCTACTTGTACTACATCTGCAAGTTTCTCACTCTGGCGGGTCGTTGATAGATTTTATTATGTATCTATTTACGCCTTAGCTGCAACAATAACTATTATTTAAATGCTTACTTGGAGGCTCGCACCTTTGGCTCTATATTTATGCCGGCATAAGTATCAGCTTTACGCCCTACGAGTAGACATATAAACAGCTATTGTTATGTCTATGAAACGAATTATGATGAGGTATAAAGAGGAAGTCTATTATTTTTTAACGCTTCTTCACTTTCGACGACGTTCCCGAGAGCCGCGAGGAAAACATTTCACACAAACTCACGCAACTACACATAACTTTGTGTGATTCTAATAATTATATCTCACAAACTGTCGTAAATCAAGTTACGTCATTTAGTGTGATTCGAAAATGAATTTTTTTTAGATTCACCAGTTACCTTTTGTGCTATTGCTCAAAGTTTTTTGCTCGTATAGAAGTTACGTCACTTTGTGGGGACATGCAGAAGTTCAAAGTAAGTTTTGGGACGGCGTAACTCAATTTTTCGATGTTTGTTAGTTACGACACTATGTGTAGAAGGTGACGATGTACAGGGTGTTTGGAGGGTGAGAAGAAACGGACATTGTGGAGGGCTGAGGCTATTGGCTATTTACAACGCCTAATTAATCTACATTTTGCCTAAGTTTCAAGGAGAAATAATGATATTTTCTTATTTTGAGAAAATCCTCAGTTTTTAAATTTAAGATTCAATATTTTTTCTATTCACTGTCGCATAGCCTCAAAATTGATTTTATTCTCAAGTTTAGGCAGCAGCGGTGGCCGCAGTAGTAGACTCTTCGGTCTCCTGATCGGTCGCCGTGTGCTGTGCGGGTTCGAGTCCCGTCCCAGGAGAAATTTTTCTCTTGGCTATGGATGTTGTGATTGTCCGTAGGTGGTATACGGTCTCTGACTGTCGAACGCGGAGGTACCACCCGGCGGATCTCGTAGGCGGAGCCAGAATGTGTGCATGTTGCATGCACACGTGTTCCCTCGCCAGAGTCCGTGTGGCGTTCCCCCTTTCCCATGTATCCCCCTATAGCCCCACGGTACTCAATGGGTGCTTAGGCTTTAGACCTTCGTGGTAGATGGTCCGATCCCATGGTCTGCAAGGTCGCCAAACTTGACCGCGCTTGATTTTTACGTCTGGGGCCGTGCTAAAGCACTAGTGTATTCCGAACCCATTAATACAAGGCAACAATTAATAGAAAAAATGAATAATGCTTTTGTGATAATGAAACGAGAAATAACACTACAGTATACCACAAGAGAAACAAGAAAGGGATTTATAATAAACCGAGCAAAAGGAGACCAATAGCTTTAGCTGTGATAGAATGACTCAGAAGTTTGTACCTGCACAATTAGGTAATTGGAATAATTTGGCTGCACCCACTATCACGAATCGTTGAAAATTACTTTATTTTTTGTTGTGTTAACTAATTATTTATGTTACATGTTGCATACCGTTAGAAAGATTGTTAAGTAGTGAAGTTTTTAATTACATTTGGAAACCCCGTACTCTTTTGTGTTATTTTTTTTGCTTATTTTGTAAAGTTGACTTAACATTTTTTTTCATTGATTTAAGGAAGTTTGTTGCTCCACTGTTACTTGTTCTTCAACTGTTTGTATCAAATGTTGGTTGAATATGAATGAAGCAACAGTAGACTTGAGAATAAAATCAACTTTGTGCCGTTGCGACTGTAAATAGAAAAAACATTGAAACTCAAATTTATAAATTGGGGATTTTCTCAAAAAAATCGTCATTTTTCCTTAAAACTGAGGCAAAATGTAAATTAATTTGGTATTGTAAATAGCCAATAGCCTCCGCCATTTTCGTTTGGCTACTCGATTAATTTCAATAGCCTTACTTGAATTTAGGATTAGCAGATTTCTTTGGCATCAGGAAGAAAATTTATCCAAAATACGTCGAATTTTGGTATGGAGGTGGTTGACATTTTGTTGCAGATATAGTATATATATATAATTGTAGTATCAACTGCAAACATAGTTAGGTATATGCCGCTCAAAGATAACGTAATTAGAAATTAAGTAGAATTGTTGATGTATTTATATCTTAAATAAATACTTACTTTCGTTTTTTCGCGTCATCTAATTCATCCATGTTTATTAATAATAACACAGCTAATATTTTTGCCCTGCTAAACGTTAGTATGTACACCCAGTACGGTTGGTTACTTGACTATACCTCTCCAGGATGTACGCCAATGTCACTTTGGTAGGCAATAATAGACACATGAGCCAGTAAATCTACGCAATTTTGGCGACAGTCACCGCAATGTAAACATACAGACTTGTCGGCTGCTTCCAACCTAGTGGAATGTGTTGTATGAAACAATGTTCAAGACTCCAAATAGATCGTGAATGTTACTTATGTTTGCATATCTGAACCTCATGAAGACCCCGACTTATTCGATTCATTGGCTTTCCTTTTACAAAGAGGTGTTTAGGGTGATAAATTAGGAGACGTCAGTAACAATAGTCCAATATAGCATAGAAACTTTTTAATGAGAGATAATAACGGCGCAGTTCGTAATTCCAGACAATGGGAGATCAGAATTAATCCGAGCGTCTTTACGATTTGATATTAAATTATATTCACTTTATGGGCTATTAAATTCCCAAACTTTCGTAATTTGACTCGACCGCCGTGCAAGTTTAAAATTTCGTTAATTTCTTCAGCATTTCATCCTGGGTAGTATTCAGTTTGCTAGAAGTTTGGTTCTGGGTATACCTTTAGTAGGAGATACATGACCGTATCTATGAATAATGTTTGACAAGTGTGCCATTTTCCAAATTATTGACAAAAGTCAAAGTCGCCTGAGCTCTGTTTTCTGTGTATGGTGACAAAGGTCGGCTTGAAAATATTCAATTTTTCATCTTGATCTATTTTATATTAAATTTCGTCTTTATAATACGTGTGTACAGTATACCAATGGTATTTTCGGGTGGACGTTGAACCCGTGACGTAATAAACCTTGGTTTCCTACAAAACTGTTGAAAGACATTACCCTTACTGGATATATTTTATGAATATATGATCAATAAATAACACACATCAATGCCTGAGCGAATGTCTCTGTGATAATTCAAGGGCGCTGGGGAGAGGTGGCTCTTACGTTTCAGACACCGAAGAATACACCATGTGGGGTCAACTGAGGCCTAGGATGGTGCAACATAGGAAAACTGGCAACATGTTTTGCAGGCTGGCAAAACAATGAATATTGACAGCGTCGTCTGTCATTTTGTTAATTATTTTAATATCAATTTCCTGTGTTGATTTTTCTGGGAATTTTAAAAAAAATATGGAAAAAATGGAAGAATTGCATGACGAACAGGTAAAATTTAATTGAATCGAGGTGTGATGTCATGATATTATACTGCTCTGGCTTTTACATGTTTGCCTGATATATTTACTATAAAAGCTTACTATCCGGATACGGGTGTAACCTGAGGAAACGAAGATGGAGAGGAAAAAAAAGTCACACGTAGTCCACAACAAGAGCCAACCTACACATTGTAGTTTAAAATGGCTAGAAGACCTCGAATCTTCAAGGAGACATGTAACTACAACCACGCGGCCGGTTATAGCCACTTGCTGTGGTACTTCAAGCCCAAAGGATCTACGAAGAGAAAATGATCATGCGGAGAAAGGTATATAACAAAAAGTAGGAAAATAATGGGCAAAATACGCAAAAAGGAGGAAAGTGGATTCGAGCAGAAAATAGGATAGGTAACCCGAGCGTTAGTTGGCTTCATCATTCATTTCGGGCGTGCAACACAGAACTGTAGCCACATAAACAGAAATATTTGTCGGGTCAGGTTATTTAGTTGCTGAAGCATTACAGTCGCCAGAGTTCATTTATTTATTTTCATTGTTCAGTTCTTTGATAGTTCAAGTTTGAAACAATATGGTAAGGAGTTCTTAAATATCAATTTTGAAAATAAACAAAAATAGTGGAATTGGTAGTAGTGACAGTGATACTGCAAACACAAGGCCGCAAATGTCATTCGTGTTGCCCCATGAATTGTTCTTAGTAGGAGTTTTTTGCGTGTTGTGCACCTCCAACCTATTCGCCTGGCGCAGCGTGAATTTTCGAATATTTTTGGAACCCATCGTGGTGCTTCTTAACGATTCCAGTCATCTGCATCTGCGCTCGCCAACAGTCCCGATTTGATTGCACATCCCAGCAAAAGTCTACAGACTAAATTGTTCGCTAATGAGTCGTGTATCGTTTTGAAGAGTCATTAGCGAAAGCGATAAGGGGTGTGGAATCGAGGGGTGGCTTTCTACCTTCGATCTTTCGTCGTGTGGCAGCTCGCGTTCGCTATTATGATCGACGATAAACCACCCGAGGTTCACAATCGGCGAGCGGAAATGTGCGCCTGCAAACTTTCTCGCTACCCCCGGCTAAGCACAAGCTCTAGTAGTTATTGTTTGCGCGTTATTTTACGGTCAAATAATTCGAGTTAATGATTGGTTGGAGGATTCGATACGCCTGCTGGGATTTGGCTTATGAGTTATGTAGGTGTGTTAGCTGCTGTTTTAGGCGCGACTCGCGGTGTTGCCAGGTAGAAACGATCTGTTTTCGGTAGAAATGCGAAAGTTTCTTCTGTAGATTATGAAATTTTTCGGTAGATAGAGTTTTTTTGTATTCCTGACCGTTGAAAACACTCGAACTTGGGCAATCCTTGCATGTTATTTTGTGAATCTCATCATACATAGGTCAGACTAAACAATATATAAAGGAAATGATGAACGATCATGAGTATAGCATAAGAAATTAAAATGATGTGTTCACCTCTCTAGCCAAATATTTAATTGACAATCGGCATGAATTTGATTTCACAAATTTGAAGATTCTAGAACTGGACTATTTCAAAAGGAACATCCTTAAAATGATATATATACTTTATCTGCAGTCACTTGAAACACTGTGAAATACCGGGTGCGTTTTATATATCTATATTTAACACGCTCTGTTGCTGACCTTTCCCTCTTCCTAGAAACGTCACTGATTTTTACCCTTCTTTCAGAACATAGACCTAGATCTTGCAATATCCTTGAGAGCGAACATTTTACTCTCACCCAAATATCGTCGATAAAGACACTGGGTCCTTGTCTGCAATAGAGAGAATAAAACCGATGATTTTCTGTCAGGTCATGGTATCAAGGGTTATAAATAGTAACTATTGCATTAGGTATACTTTATCTGAAGTCACTTGAAACACTGTGAGATACCGGGTGCGTTTTATATATCTATATTTAACACGCTCTGTTGCTGCAAAAATCGCCAAATTTCGCAGCAAATATAAGATCAAAGGCAGTTTCACCGGTCCACGTGGAGTAAAGCACGCCTATGCGTGGACATAGCCAATGAGAAAGCGTGTATTTCAGAGCTCTGAACAAGTGCAGGTGGTTACTGAATATTGAAACAGTTTAGCCAGTGCCGTGTAGCGGTGAATAAACGTGTTTTCTTTAGTCTGTCCGTCTTTTTTCATAGATTTTATTAGTTTGTGTATTTTTGACTTTTGAATACTCAGTTTACTTGTTGATTTAATTGTTGTGTTGATTGTTCTTGTGTGTCCTAAATATGGCTCTTTGGAGACCTTGGGAAAATGCTCCAAGCCACGAAGAGATGGTTGATGAACCTGTGCAGGCAGAATTCTTTCATAAAGATTTAGAGGAACAGACCCAAAGAGTAATCCTAAATATGTATGATTGTCTGAAAAACGAAAATCCAGATTCCTCGCAAAATCAAATTTTAAACAGAATTTGTATCCTGACAAAAATCAGTCGGTCTACCATTTATCGGGTTATAAAAAGGGGAGATATCATTCCTTCCACAGAAAGCGCATAGGGCAAAAATTAAAAAGAATAGACGTGGGTTTTCAGGAAGATATTCGTCGTATAATATACGGATTTTATAAAGAAAATTTGGTGCCCACGTTGGAAATGATACGGAAGAAATTAAAAGATTATCCTGAAGATTTTTATAAT